AACGTTACTGTAAAAACTTGGGCTTTTCAACCGCAAGGCACGGGTGTTGAATTACAAACAAGAGTGCTTCAATTTTCCCTATTACGCGATGTAATCCGCAAGTAGCGCAGTTTGCGCCCACGTAATCAGCGATTTTGGTCAAGCGTTCTAATTAGTGAGATTATGATGATTTCCATCGTGGGCGAAACCGCGTCGATGCAACATTTGTTGTTACATTGATTTGGCATCAATTGATCGACGTTGACAGCTCGAACGAGCTGTATTTTAACGGTGTATAGAGAAACGGATCGGTCGCGCAATTCACACGTTTCGCCCGGTTTGATGCGTTTCAGGAAATTGGTTTCATTACCGGCTCTTTTTAGCAAGAGCAAAATCGAGTTTTGGCGAATACGTATTGCTAGATTTTTTGCTTTCGTTTTTTTTTCCGCTGATAATTAAACCCGCACCCACAATTGTGCACTGGAGCCAAGCTTTTGGGAGAGAGAAATCGTTAATTCGTTAACGCATTAATGCAATTTTTATCGATGACTGATTTACAAAACGTTACACGATATTCATATGACGTTCGTGAAATGAAATTTGATATATTCGCGTAAGAGAAAAATTATTATACACGAATAGATTTTTAAGGCAAAAGCGAATATGCGAATGGAAATGTATACCTATTATTTGGAGATATTACATTTCAATCAGATATTAAAATTAGAAAGAGAAAGAAGGATTCTTTTAAAACAGATGTTTTAAAGAATTTTCAAGAATTACAGAATAAAACAAAGTTTATCACTCCTGTAAGGAGATCGAGAGTCTCTACTTATAATATCAGTTTCCGTCGGAAGATAAAACGCCTTCCTCTAAACAGCTTCATCTTTTAAAGACAATTAATTCAGCTTCTTAGTACGAGAAAGAGAGCTCATTAACATTTCGCAAACCCGTCGAATTCAATAAGAGTGGAAGTTCAGTTTGCAGATATTCCTCTCATTATTCTCATATTAAGAATGGCGCTTTTTATCGGATAATTATTGCCTAATGGAATTCTGCCAATAAAAAGTTCATCATTCTTTCGTAATCGCCTTGTATTTAAGAGACATCTGTGAATCTCTTTAGCAAAAACTTCGATAATACTCAGGCAGGCTTCATTACGAAGTTTCGAGCTGCGTCTCCCTCGGCTTTGCTGTCCTATTCGATAATGGGAATTTGTTCGGGCAGATCGAAGCGGCTCGATTTGCAGCGTCGACGTGAATCGACAGGAAAGTGGTACGCCCCGTGAAACCTACATTCTTTATACGCGTTTGTCATATTAAGAACCATCTGGTTCAACGATAAATAATCGATTGTCATCTGATGTGACAATTCCATTTTTTTTTCTTACACACAAAACATCGGCTATCGCCGTCGTTGTTTATGGCATATCGGAGAACATTTAACATGAAATTATTTGATGAGATTCTTAATTTAAAGTTTAATCGTCATGTCAAAAGACAGCAGATTGGCAGGAAAAATGATAGTTCCTCGAAACAAGATCTAACTAGAGTTGGATGCTCAAAGGCTGACACTGCAAATACACACTGGTAAACATATTCTTTTGGATGAATTACTGTATAGGGTGTACATGTGTTTTCCATATACATGTATTCTCTTTTGATTCGGATGTGGCGAGTATTAGGGTATCATGTGAATGCGTCTAATCTCGAGGGTCGTGTAATTATAGCTTTTAATACATATCAGTACTCTCGTATTCGCTGTATAACAGGGCACGCTATAATAATCACCTTAGACAGTCTAATCAGTCTGATAGCTGGTTGATCGTTAAGATACCTTCGTACATAGGGATCGATCGAGCTGTTTAATATTCAAGAGGATAATCAACGATTGTAGGTGTACTCTAATTGACATAATCTCTAGTCTTACAATATTCATGTTCAGCTTATGCTTGGTTATTGTTATATCGTTATGTAACCTTAATTAGTAATTTAGTTCATCGCATCTCTCGATGAAAATTGCAAAAAGATGTTGCTGTATTATCTTTATAAATCGACTCGTAAAATTACGTTTATCGCTATTTTATTGTATCTGTGGACCCCGTTTCAAGACCAATATATCCACAAGTAGGTTTATGATTACTGGAGACTATTAATTTCCTGGTAAAAGATTAACGTTTTTTTCGTATCGTGAGAGATTAACCCATAATGAGAAAAAGTCTTACAATTTCTTAATTAGAAAAAGAATGTATTTATTATGTAGGATTTAAAATTTTAAAACAAATTGTTAAAATATTTTCCAAAATGTTCCGCGATTAATTTCTACTCATTCTTTCAATATTTAAGACGATTATGAGCACGAAATTGTAGAATTCGAAGGCGACGAATCTATATAAAGATTAAAAAAATGGGTAAACTCCGATTTCTTAAAACACGAATGATAACGTAGAAATTTAATTCATAATCTCGAAGTTTACGCAATTTTGTGTCAGTTTAAGTCGAAATGAAATCCGATTACGTGTATTTCGAATCCGTTAATTAGGTTGCTAAATATTACGTCGTCTACCGCGTGTCTTTTTGAGTACGACTATTATTATCTGTTGATTTATTTTTCCCGATAAACGTCAATTCTCGCAGATGGACGTTATCTTGCGTATTTTTTTTATTCCACCTACGACATTTGCAGAATGTGCAACCAAAATCCAGCACAGCTCGATACACCTATAGGACAAGCCCTCGAAGGGACGCGACGTCATATGATGGAATATTACGTAAGCCATTTCGCGTCATCATGCTATAAAAGGACGATTCAATATCGCCGTTCGGGGGCTTTACCCGTTCGAAGTTTAACTTGCACTCGGCTTTTAAACAGGAACGAGCAGTGCGTGGGTGAGCTATCGGAAGTGCTTCGAGATTTAATATATGAAAGTCTTTCGACGAGATCCGATGCCACCTTCGCTCTCGCGAAACTTTCGACTCGTGACGCGTTATTTCCGGCTCTGCGGAGGCTGTTTGCGGGACTCCACCGAACTTCTCTCCTCTTTTAAAGGTCGAAGACTCGCGCTCGGCATGTATTGTTATATACGTCGACGCTAAAATATCTCGCGACGCGAGACTCTCTGCGAAACTTTTTATTCAGTTCTACCTCCCCGTTGTATTTCCCTAGCGGCAGACCGGCGATCGGCGGTGAGATATAAAGGGCAAGCATGTTGAAAGTGCGCAATCAAAGGCCTGATATAACGCAGACTGTGAGCACTAGAATAAGAATCTTAGAATTTCACTTTTCGAAATAAAAACTTATCAGGAAGAAAAACATTTGGATATAGCGCACATATTACTTACTTTATTTAGAATAATTATATAAGTAAAACAAAGAGGAAATAATACTCCGCTTTTACACATGTGTGAGAATTAATTCATTTTTTATAAAATATACTCGTATATATATATAAAAAAAGCCTGAACATATATTAATGCCGATAACTTTAGCTACTTGGTTCTATAGTTATTCTCTTCTAAATTTTATTTTAATACGTTTTTTGTCTCAATTTCTAATCTCGGGGCATATTTAAATTCGCGCCGGAATTCAGGATAAAATTTTATTTATAATTTCACATAACGCCACGTATTTGTACATATATTTCGATCGTATATGCGTGCGCATTTCGTTTCCTCTCGAATGTTTCTCGTATTGTAGTCGTACATTAAATTATAAATAGAATTCTGTCACGACGATTTACAAATCGTCTAAAGTGGGCTTTACACAAGCGTGAAATATTTACCCGCGGGGGTAATCAATCGATCTTGTTCTAATCGAAGTTTCCTACTTACACAATCAGTATACCCAGACTCGTATAAACAGACGAGGGATATCTATAGCAATTTTCTCTCTCGACGCATCTCCTATTTCGTTTCGATTCGCGCGTTGCGGCGCGGCGGAGCGGAGAATGAAACGGTAACTCTTCGCGTAGCGGTCGTTACGTAAGTCGATCTATCCTGTTTGTGGGGCAAGAGCTTTACCGTCGCCATCAGCGGAAAGTGCGCAAAAAGTGCGAGCTGCACGACCGCGACTAAATGTGGATGCGGCGAAATTCTCAACAATTGCGATGTGTCAACTAGAGTAAAAAATTTCCCCGCCGCGAGGAAGTATCGGGTCCGGCATTCCGTGCGAGAATCTCTCATCGTGTTTCGCCGTATACATACTTTCCCGGCCATAGCCAGATCGGAGATGGAAATCGCGCACGGAACATTCGAACGAGCTCTCCTCACTCTCGTGGATCTCGTAAAGCTCGGGATTCCTTTCTTCAGTATGTCCGCTACATATGCGCGCACGCGCACGTACTTATGTGTGTGTGTCAGCCAGTTGGCATTTGTCGTTCCGTCCACAGAATCCCATAAAGTACGAGGTACGAGGGAAATGGAAAAACCAACGGAGATGAACGTTCTTGCGAACGAAATCAAAGCCATCTCTCACCGAAGGCTACAGGAAAATCAAGTTTCTTAACTCGAGATGGCCCGGGTTCAAAAGGCGAAAGCCCCACGATGCATGAAGACATAACGCGAAGAAGTTATATTTCTTCGCCGGCAAATGGAAAATAACATTAGAACGAATATTGCATTTGAAAAAGTAGCGACGAAAAACTGGCGCGCAAAAGTCGCGCGTGAGTATATAAAGAGAGTTATGGCGAGGTGTAAATAAATTTTTCTGATTAATATTTGTGCTTTCAAATATTGATTTATATATTTTCTGGATACGCGAAAACAGAGAAAAATATTTATAAAAAGATAACTTTTATTATCGCTGTGCAAGGCGAAAGTGATTTTTATTTATTTAGACAATGTTCCAGAGAATGGAACAAAATTTGGCGAGGAACAAAGTTGGCCGAATCGCAAACAGTACTGTCACTGGCTTGACAGTGAACGATAGAATTGCTCTCCTGCCGTGACATCTCGATTGTGGTAGTTGATGTTTACTTCGTCCAACGTCTAACAGCTTTTTCGTAACGAAATGTATTTGCGTACCTTTTCCCTCACAGAGCCGCGTCGTTGAAATCTTTCGAGGAGCTCGAGGGTTGATCCAGCTCCTTCGAGATGTTCGTTGTCTGCTCCAGAATGATCATCTCGCATCCCTCGGGATTCTGCGTTTTCGTGCTGGGCAGCAGAGTCTCTTGCAAGGTGTTATTACCGTTACATATCTTGTCGCCCCTGCAGCTCTCTTTGGTCCTCGGAGTGCTGTTGCTGGAGTTCCTTGAATAACATGGTAGGACCTGCGAAAATAATGGCGCGTGATTTTTTTCATTCAATAGCTTCTAGCGATGGTTTTGATCGATAGTATGCGACTCCGGCATTTAATCTTTTGACTCCCAAGCGAGGTGAGCCTCATAAATGATTTTCTTGCGAATAATTCTGCCATGAAATTTTCATAATTTTTGTGGATTTTTCTAATTTACTTTTAAGTTATAAACTTTTATTTGAAACAAATAAATGCTATACAAATAATGTATACAATTTTCAAGAAGATATGACTTATTTACTCGAGGCGAGCCATTCGCCCCACTTGGACGCTTATGTCTCAGAAATCAGCATGGGAGTTATATCGAAAGGTTAAATCTATTATGCATTTTTTTCAAATGATTTGTTATTACTGACTTACGTCGAATTGAATCCTAACTAATTTACGCCACTCAATTAACAACTTAATATGCATACTTGTCAAATTTAACCAGGTAAATTATATATTTACCAAGTAATTGAAATAATATCTCTTAAAAGTTAGCTCAGTTTTCCGATTATCAATTTCATTAATTTAACACGCTGATCTCATTTTCTCCACATATGCATGTTCAACCGAGCGATATTTGGCTTCGCGTAGTCTCATTTATCAGCGATATTTCTCAGAGAAAGACGCGTTTAAATTAATTTTACACCCAGACGAAATTATTAATCGATCCTATAATTGCAGTTTATGAGAGTGCTCCGAGTCGTTATGGGACAAATCGTCAAGCATATTTTATTATTGCGGAACTTGAGGTCGGAAATTGATGAAAGAGCGTAATCAAGTCGTAGCAGATGTGGATAATTAAAAATTAATTCAATGCGGGTCGAGAAAAATTAATCGGACTTGACGAGCACGATGAAAATGCTCGTGACTCTCGCGCGAGACTCAACTTTCATTGATACCAGAGCATTCTGCATAAGAGTAGAATGACGTCGCAAAATCAAATTCTCTAATATTAATTCCTCTTAATTATCGAGAGTTTATAAAACGATGTCCTAATGTCACAACAGAAAGCAATAGATCGTATCAAATAATATTATATTGCTCACGTTTCTATTTCTGTGGCAAAATAAAGAGGAAAATAAATGAAAAGATAGGAAAGCAATACAATGAAAATGTATGGAAGAAAAATAACAGAAACGAAGCGCGATGTAAAATTCTACACACATTTCCCAATAGATAAATATATAATAAATATATAAAAATATATAAAAAAATAAATATATAAAGAGGAAAATAAATGAAAAGAGAGAAAAGCAATACAATGAAAATGAATGGTAGAAAAATAACAGAAACGAAGCGCAATGTAAAATCCTACATATATTTCCTAATAGAACATCAGGAAACGAGAAAATACCGCAAAATATGAAGCATTCTCGTTACACATAAATCTTTTTCCGTTCTATGAATTTGCAAATAGCGAGGGTAAAGTCTTTTCGCGAAAACAATAAAAAGCGCGAGTAATCCCTTTATACCACTTTTACCTTGGCAAATGCGACCGTGAATCGAAACCGCCAATATACCGGCATCTTCGAGAGAATCGATTGAATACTAACTATTCAGAATGCAAGTTGAAGTTGCATTCAATAGACACCCGGCAAAATATATACTATCTTCCCGGCGCACGTACGTTGATGTCCGAAACACGTTTCATCATTTCGCGAACGTGCAGACACGGAGGGAAGAAATAGCTCGACGCTGCAAATTAATTTCGGCGCGCGATAGAATTCAAGCTGCTGGTTTCTCCCCGAGCGTATTGCAATTGAGAACATAACGCATCAAATTGTCGCTCCTTCGATGGTTTCGATGTAAACAGTTCTGTCCCAATTACTTAAAGTGCATTCCTGCACGATCCACCTTAGAAATTGCATATGCAGTTAATTATAAATGCATTAGACGTATCCGCGTAATATTACGCATACTCAAAAAGATATACTATGTAAAGTATATTAAAACGAACGTTGCATGCAATGATCTGTAACATTGTTTTATTTTATGAAAGTATTTGTCTAACATTCTTGTCTAAAAATTTTAAAAATTCCGAAAACAATGCTATTACAGTAATTTTTAATATTACTTTTTTCATAAAGATATTGTCTTTCTAATTTAAAAAGCTCTGGGAATAAGTTGCCGATTCGTGTTCGAGAACGCGCTTGCTTCGAGATATTTAATTTTTAACGCACCATTTCTGCGGCTGAGCACGTACACGGAACTTTTCCGAATGGTTTAGGTTATTTCCTAAATTTCTATTTACATTTTCTAGGGGAAACGGTATAACTGCAATCAGAATCCATTACGAAAAGTTCCATAATACGTGCCCTGAATAGTTTCGCGAATTATTTTACGCAAAGTATTATACGTTTGCTCTCCGACCGTAATAAGAATGATCTATTTGCTGGTGTATACCTCGCGGATGAATGAGAAACAATGAAATGGACGGATCATCCGGTAATTTCAAAAGGCGCCCAGCTTGCGGCCTTGGCTCTCACGACGTGATATTGGAAAGAAACGAAAGGCGGACAAGCTCAATACGTACACACCTGTTTGAATTCCTTGCGGAAGTTGTCGTTGAGCCAGGCGTAAAGGAACGGATTGTAGCAGGTGCTGCTCATGGCGATGCAGTGCGACATGAAGAAGCAGAACTTGTAGTAGGACCAGCTGTTGGCGTCCGAGTAAAAGTCGTCGACGACGTTGACGATGTTGAGCGGCAACCAAGACACGCCGAATATGGTGACCATGGCGATCAGCATCCGATTGGTGCGACGCTTCCTCTCGCGATCCTTTTCCTCGCGCTTGCTGGTCTTGCTGCCGGGTTTGGCGCGCGCTCGATCGTTCAGCTTGATCGACACGCAGATGTAACAGAAGGCGATTACGAAGAACGGCACGACGAACTGCAGTATCGAGGTGAGCGAGCTGAAGACCTTGCGAAATGGCTCGCTGGGCCAGTTCTCCTCGCAGAAGGATATATAATTTTCCTCCAGCTGCTGCATGTAAAGCCCGTACGGCAGGGTGACCAGTAACGCGACCATCCAAATGCTCACGATGATCGCCAGGCACATCTTGATCTTCATGCGCGGATGGAACGGATAGAGGATTACCAGGAACCGGTCGACGGCTATGCTCGTCAGCGTGAGCGTGCTGATGTACACGCTGACCCCCTGGGCGTAGGGCACCAGATGGCAGAGGGTGTTACCGAAGACCCAGCCGTTCATGAAGGTGTACAAGGGGGTGAAGGGCACGGCCAGCATGCACAGCAGCACGTCGCTGAGCGCGAGGTTCGTGATGAAAAGATTGGTGACGGTGTGCATCTGGCGATTCCGCCCGACGACGAAGACCACCAGCACGTTGCCGAATATGCCGAGCACGAAGATGACGATGTAGAACACGCAGAATACGATCTGGACCGTCAGATTCGACGTCATGTCCTCCGTCTGCGCGTAGCTGGAGTTGCGCGCCGACACGTTCTGCATGGCGACCAGGACGACCGACGAGGCCGACGTTATTTGCGTTGTGTTATTATCCGTGGCGTATCTTGAAGAGCGCGGGTCAGTTACTCGCGACCGACGACGCCTCCTTTTCCTCTTCCTCTCGCTCTGCCTCCTCTTCTTCCTTCTCCTCCTTCTCTTCCTCTTCCTTCTTCTCTCCCCTCCGTCGTTACCTCGTCAAATCGATCATGCGTCAGCGATACGCGGACAGACTCGCTGGTTCATCATCCCCTACGATTGCGAGGTGCGGAAGGTCGATCCGCTAATGCGACTCGGCGAGTCGAGAGTTAGTCCGGAAGAAAATCGGAGCGGTGTACATATATACACGTGCCGGCGTTGTCGATTCACGAGCCGTGAATTAATTTCTCACGAAGCTCCCTCGCCCCATTAGCGTCAACAGCGCGCTGCTGTTATCCGGCGCGGCGAACGCTCAGGCGACGGAAGTTGCGATAGATAAGCGAGTTATAGCTCCAGATAAGCAGATTAGCTTGAGTTTCGCGCGCCGCGGTATCCTCGCAGGGCCAACTGTTTGAGGGGCATCGATTACGCTTGACGCGTATGCAAGCGTTGCAACTCTTACCCCGACTTTCGCCGAGTTAATCCTTTAAGCGCGATTTAATTTAAGTTTGATTCTCCGATAGTTTAAAGGACAGATTAAATGAGGAGCGCCGCGCTTTTATCGATCGTTATTCCGCATCGAATATTCAGTTCCTTTCTTTATCCGCGAATCTTAAAGGTCCATTTTACATTTTATCTGCTCGATCCATCGACAAGATGGATATCTTTCTTTTTCATTCTCATAATGAAGCCATCTTCCAAGCAGAATTCACATTAAAACGAAAAGTGGCGAGTGACGTAAATAAATGACGATGAATTTGGAGGCAGCACCAATTTCCTTGTTCATTAATTCGCAAGGTGGCAGTGAGTAAATGTTTAATTAAGCAAGAGGGTTTTGTACGAATACACGAGCGGGGATACGGGTAAAAAGCTCGCCGGAAGCGTCGTTGCACATTTCACTCTTATATTCTCGAACTATTAGTGTAATCTTTACGCTGTTCCTCGCGACGATTCACTACGTAGAAACACCCAATCGTCCAGAGTCATTTATATCAAGAGCTTTTTTGATTATTTAGATTATTTAGAATTACGTCATACGAATATTATATGCTTGTCAATATTAATAGAAACGTCAATTTCGTTCGGTTCGTTCGGCGTTTATGTACTCGGGGAAGGGGCGAATGGCGATGACAGTCAGGCAATTAACATGTTTCGCCGGTTCCGCGACGAAACTTTCGAACCCCCGGGAAACGACCGACGGTTGTTCCTCTCGCTGAAACAAGACATGAGAGAGCAATTAGGAGTACCGATTATGACCGGGTCGGCGTGGACGAGACCCTCGGCAACTTTGGCAGTGTCGTCGTCGCCGTCAAGCAAGCGTTTCGGAAAGTTCCGAGCGGTCGACAATACCGGCCACGTCGCGCTTCACGAGTCTTGAAAGTGAGGAGAAAGAGAGAGAAGCAGAGGAACTATTTAAAAAGCTTGGCAGACACTCCTCAAGATCGTTTCGTCATTAAGAATCGGAAATAGGGACGCATATACTCCGACGATAAAGCTCTGCGTTCTCTTTTTTCTTTCTCTTCCTCTTTCTTCTTTTTTCCTTTTTTCTCTTATTGAGCAAGAATTTCGTCAGAAAGACGACACGACAATTCCACTGATGTTTTTTTTTAACGCTCTAACGCGCACGGATTTATTTACGCGCAGATGGAGGATCGTAAATTACACAGTTTTCCACTCGTTGGATGTGCGATGCGTATTAATCGGAGATTAATGGAAGCGCGTTACGTGCTACACGGCTCGTTGATAGACCGATTTTAACGGCCATGGTAGATATTAATGAATTCGTTGAACTAGCCGAGAGAGAGTATCGAGAAACAATTAGGAGAGGCTCAGAGAATGGGGAACGTTTGTTAAAATGTCCATTTTAAACGCGAAACGTCGAGCAGCTAATATAGCGTGAGTTAAATTCATTACTAATTGCTTAATTTTATGGTATCATTATAGTACCTCGA